CCTTGCAGGGAGCTCGGGTTCTTAGTAGGGAGCTCGGGTTCTTAATAGGGAGCTCGGGTTCTTAATAGGGAGCTCGGACTCCCAGTAGGGAGCTCGAACTCTCGGTAGGGAGCTCGGGCTCCTAGTAGGGAATCCGGTCTGGTGGAGTTCGGGCTCAGTAGCGAGCTTGGACTTTCGGTGCTCGTTTTGGGCGCTCTGCTACCCCAAGTTGCTTGCTTTTGCCACGTGTCGGGTGATTGCGAGGTCGGACCAAATTTCCCTTCATCAATTGCCCCCCACTCCCTGCGACAAGGGTCCTGTCTTGGCGCGGGGAGTTCGTAAGGTAGTAGGAGGATTTTGGTATGTACTGAGAGCGTTCGCTTTAATTTGATTTTCAAAAAAGGCACGCATTTGGGAGACGTGATGGTAGTCGTTCGGGAGTCGTGCTGTAGATGCTTTTATTGCGAGGAGACGTGCGCTGACACCCTGTCAGTTTCGAGAAGATGCGTGCTGACGCCCCGTCCTCTAACAGGACGTGCGCGACGCCTCGTCAGTTTCGGAAAGACGTGCGCTGGTCGGCTTCGGAAGACGTGCGGTTTAGCGCGGCTGTGGGCCGTTGGATTGGCTTCGATCTGGGCCGTCGCTTTCTGGCCGCTGTGGATATAAATAGCGGGGGGGGGGGGTAGTCCTTGCTACTGTACCTCTTGAGCKCGCGCCTAAATTTCAGTTCGCGTCCAGGCTCTTCAGCTCGCGTCCCAGGTTCCTTGCTTGTTCGAGCTTCCATGGTCTACTTCAGTCTTCTTCCCGGGTGAGTGCTCTTGGAATCCCGTTCCATTCCTTGATGTCTAATTTGGAGGGTTTAGACAGTTCAAGCGGGTTTGATGCAGGTTCTACGAACCAATTTGCGTCCCCCGGTAGTTCAAGTGAGCCCGATGTAGGTCATGAGGAAGAGGTTGAACCTACAGGCCGAGGTGCCTCGAGTAGGTCGGCATCCACCTCCCATCGTGGCCGGACTTTAGATCAGTTTGGCCCTTTGATTATGACGCCTGAGGGACTTCAATCCCTCATAGACTACTACAACTTGCTCGGGGAGCACGCCTACTTCATCCCTACGGGTAGCTTCCCTTGGGAACACGGTCCTGATGAGATCGTGATTTTCCGAGAG